AGTAGGTGGAAAAGTGAAGACTGAAAGTCATTAACAGTCTGAACCTCTGCCAGTCTGCAAAAAATAGCTAGTGCTAATTATATCTCATTGAGATATAGATATAAAAGATATCCTTCTTTTATTGTGGAGCCCAAAAAGCACTAAATACAATTAGTGTCCATTAGAATAATTTGAACTAGGAAGCATATGATTTCCGATTCTAAATAGCTCTACTTTATCCCCCTATTGCTATTCCCCTATGACAGAGGCTGTTGATCACAGGTGAAAAACCCTGGTATATACCAGCTTCCTCCAACAAAAATCCTTGGACCTCTTTTGTTCCTGTGAACTGTCTTGAATCTATGTGTAATAATCAAGTGTATTTTACTCATTAAATCCAGACTCTGCTTCCTCGTGTTTGATGATGATGAGAAAAGCCCCACCATATGGTCTACTTCCGATACAAACTGTGCAAGATCACAGTGAATTCCCTGGATCTGTAGAACATACACACACAGTTTTCTTCTGATTGTGCACAAGGTTACACAAGCACAGCTCTCAAATTTGGTCTGTGAATCCCTTCATTGTTCAATATAAGCTTCTAACATTCTGAACGCTGTTGGAATGCTTTGTACATGTCTCCAAGAGGCTTTTGCTAGCTGTGGGGCAAAGGCCTTGGAGTGTTGGAAGGTTAATTTTTATTGCTGTAACTCTATTTTACCTATACAGAGGTTTGAAGGCCACAGAATTTTAAGTTCTGGAAGAATACAGGACAACACAGGGCTCCCTCATGTTGTATTAATGTCATTTCTGCACCCTTTGCACACAAATTTTAGACTAAGTAGCTCATATCTCCTTTTATTTAAAGACACTTCTAAGTAGTATGGAGCCCATTTCAATTAAAAGAAATGCTTAATCATTTGCAATACTTAAACTGTTAAAAACAACCCTATAATTCAATCCAATAAAAAAGATACCAATTTAAATGAGTACTTTACAATGGTAAATTTACAACTTTTTGGCAGACTAAATCAAATTTAGCATGGGAGCAACAAATTGATATACAAAGGATATACCAATACAAGGTCCAAGGAAGAAAACACCTCTCACTGCAGTTTTCATGCATGCTAACTGCATTCTTGGTTATAATCTAACATTCAAAACATTCACCAGTTGAAAAAAGGGAGAAAAAATAGTAGTTAACCTCATTAAAAACATTGTAGATTCTCTGTATTTTGAAAGTCACTGAAAAAATCAGACCTGAGAAGGATTCAGTTGCTCAGTGCTTTTATTTCACAGAAGAATGAACATGTCGGCAAACATGTAATATCGTACTTTCCACGTATCAGCAGAGCCCAAGCAGCAGCCAAATTTTACTGATCCCTATGCTTTACCGGATGTTAGAAGGGGAAAAAAAGTAAAGTAAGCATAATGTTCAGCTATAAATATTGTCAAATACATCCCTGGTTTCAGTCTGTTTTAATTAAAATAGATCTTATGCTGCCTCCTGTTGGTCACCAACAAACAGAAACATTTAAAATTAGACTCCACGTTACAAACTGCAGAGAGCACATTCTAGCATAAACCTTACCTACTACTAACCAGAGGAGGTGTACAGCTTTCTCCAGGGAGTAACACCAGAAGTAAATCTGGCCCAGTAAAGGTACTCCATTTTGTGAATATAATTAATTTTTAACAGCAGTAAACTGACTTACTACAAATGTATTTAGAATATAGAAAATAAATTAATTAGTACATAAATGATAGAGTAATCATCAGGTCTGTGCAAACATAATCAATATAAACACCTGAATAATTGATATTTATCGTAACAACTAAACCAGTATGATAACATTACTGAAGTGCCATAATGTTTTGATAGCATTCTTTAAAAATTAATATTATCCAATGTAATTGTTACTGGATATTAAAATGCCACATACAATATATATAATCTTCATGTATATTATACTGGTCATGCTTATAATGTGTTCTGTGACATAGAATACTATTAGAAATGTTTTGGTTACATCGTTTAAGTGCAAATAGATTATAACTTTACATGCAATTTGTATGTTTTAAACATCTTACTATATTTCAGTGAGAACACAGGTAATGATCAGTCCAGTAATATGACTACTTTTAGAGGAAACTACTTTTTCATAAGGTACTGTGAGCTTTGAAATGTCAGTAAATATGTAGAAAAACTCACTTTGCACTAATTTTGTGACTTTTTTTAAATTGCATAACAGCTGTGTAAAGGAGGCCGAAAAATCTATTTGATCCAGACCTACAGCAGTTACTCATGCAAGTAATCCATATTCTTCTGAGTAGTGTAATTGACTATGCTGAGATTTCTTAGATCATTAGCAATTAATCACACGATTTGGAACATAGGCTCTTAATTCTATCATAAAACCTTGTTTTTAACCATGAATTTCTAACACACCTTCTTCTGCACTCAATTCTGCTATAAAATTTAACTCTCTGTATGTGGAATTGTGGCAAATGACCTTTTTTCCCTTCGATGCAAGTTGTAATACAGGCTTACCTACATAACTGAAGAAAATTGATACTATTTCACAGTAACCTTTCTGTAAGCAAGGGTATAAAGTAACTGACACTACTACATTATTTCCTGATCACTGAGTAAGAGCACTCAACTCCATTTGAAATCCATGAATGATTTGTCAAACTGGGAACTGACATTAGTTCCTGTGCAAATGTAGCATACAACATTAAAGCAGCAGCATGTCTATTTTCCAAATTAAGCTTCATTCAGATTTCATTTCATATACTGAGCAATTTACCATATACGTCATTGCTCTGTCTGATGTCATATACACACAGAGCAAGCGGCTGGATGGAAGACTGCCAAAAAAAATTTGCTGTAAGGAAAAACTTTCAGGAAAGAGCATCACCTGAATGACTGACTCGCTGTTTATGTGACCCAGCAATTCGGTCATGACAGTGGCAATTAAAAAAACTTGCAATTCTCTAGTGTCTTACAATTTGCATAGCTATTTATATCCATGTACTATGGGCATAATATGTTACTTTTCTCATTGCATAAATTGCATACTCATATTACTTGGGTATCAAAACAACACAAAAACAGCAACATAGGAGAACTGGGCCTTGTATTTCTAATGAAGAGCCAAGTTACAGTAATTAATGAAGTCTCTATGCTACAATGAGTAGCCTTATTACTGCTAATACTACTGTTCTATATGACTGTTTATTTTTCTCCTACTGTTTCAGTAAGCAGGAATACTGTTCTCCATTCCTCCTAAACTGTTCAATAGATTTGCTTTGCACTAACAAAAAGTAGATGTGTTCCAATATAAAAATGCTTGCATTTCAGTATTGTGACTGTAAAGGTTACCTGGCTAAGTGTAGTTATAATATGATTTGGAGGCTCACTATGAAAAGATCAAAATAAATGTGGAAGTTGCCTGAAATACTATAATAACAAGCTATTTACTTCTACAGAACTCACATGCATGTTAATATAAAAAAATGATTGAGTGGAAGGGCTCCACTCTATTAATATGTTCTCCACATGTGCATAATTTTAATTTGTATCCTTATGAAAATATTTATGATGGATGTTATCTAAATTTATAAAGGTATCTGACAATAAATTTTATAGTCAATCACAGAATTGGAACTTTCCATTGTTTAGTGTTTAAAACAGAAGTATGTTGCTAGGCAATATAAAGCTTTAAACATTAATATTGAGCATGACTTTTGCAAAAAGTACATGCAGTAGGAATACGATAATGAACTTACTACGGTCATCTCAAGCTATATGAAAGATGTTTTAGATGCCTCACTAAATTTTGTTCATTTTTAAACTGCTTGGAAAAGATGTGCTTAGATGTTTAGAACCATTCTGTCTGGCGTAAGACAACCTTACTGCTTAAACGATACTTACATGGAACATAAGGGCTCCCAACATCTTTTTCAAATAGCTGGAAAGAAAGAAAATTCTCAGGCTGTGGAAAACTGCATTTATGAAACCTAGCTAATTTCAGTGTCCTTATGTCAGACACTTTGTATGCATGAGATCAAATTTACTTCACAATGTATGCCTAAACTAGTATCAATACTGAAAGTCCATTACAATTTTAACATTATAATAGATGACTACTGAAATTTTATCAAGCAATATATTGTGTAGTGTTTACCATTTGATATTTTAACACTTAAAATTACCATTAAGTACAAGATGAAGGTGTTTTAATTCTTTTAAACCACCACAGAAGTTAAATAAAGGAATTCTTGCACTTCAGAAATACTATTTGCTTTGACTTTAAATATGGGGATTTACTTTTGTAACTTTGCATTTGATGTACGACAAGATACAAATTTTTCCCGTAGTTAACCGAAGCAACAACTAAAATTTATTTTACAGCTTACTGCAGTAAACAGCCTAGTGGCTGCTTAGTAGCTAGCACTGGAGCCTTCAAAGATGGAAGACTTCTGTTAGAAAACATCCTGAAGTGTTTTTTCTTCAGTTAACAGCATGACTGAAGCAAAGATACCCCATGAATCATTCACCCTGTAGAAACCTTCCCCATCCTGCACTATGTTATCAAAGTTTATCTTGCCACAGTTAATGGGATGAAAACAGAAAGTACAGCTACTACTAAGGCACAAGGATGGAGAAAAACTGGTAAAACTTGGAAGAGCTGAAGTAAGATGATAGGAATTATCAGTCTCTTCAAAGTTAGATACCTCGTTTTAATGCTGTGAAGGTCACTTTGGCTCTTGCCCTTGCTAAGGTCATTCTAATAAGATAAAGCCGACAATGAAATCCTCTTACAGGTTTATGAATATAAAAAACCCTAAATAAAAGAACACTAATGTAGATTTGTTAAACTTCAGTTACATAGGGAAAACAGTATCACAGTCAGTTTTCTCACTCAGCAACTTGTCTACTGGGACAGCTGTGAATATTACAGAAATAATGGCACATATTACACAATGAATTCTTCATTACTATGCTTTTTTGAAAAGTAGTATCATTTTGCAAATTATTCATATAATTACAAAGAAGACCTGCATATAAAATTAAGTGATATTTTCTCTATAATGACTAGAATGAATGACAGTTTAATGGACTCTTCCAAAGCATTTCTATAGCATACAATTTAAACTGAAGATTTAAACAAAACAGTATGTATTTTTCCGTCTGTAAATTAATACCTAAAAATCTGTTCTAAAATTTGTGCATTTAAATAGATTCTTTTGACTCAGGAGTTTCAAAATTCTCCAGAGCAAATTGTCAGTACAGATGACCAGGGGTCCCTATATTTATTAAACTGAATGACCTGACAGTAAAACTCAGTTAAGGCTCTTGGCATCGGTGAAACTTCTTCCCATTCAGACCTACTACTATGGTAGACTTGAACTTCATCTGTGATTTCTTCTGGAGCATAATCACCACCTAATATATAAATTTTGTCTTCTGTTCCAACTGCCCCTGCATTAAAGCCAGCACATTCGAAAGATCCTTCCCCTTTCCAAACACAGGTTTCTGGGCAAAAACTGTAGACTTTATATGTGGAGAGATCACATATGTACAGTGTACAGTTCACTGGAACAGCTTTGATTAGAGTTGCATGGAAAAACTGCCCAAATTCTGCTACAAGCTCAGACCACTGATCAGTCATAGCATTATACTTAAAGAAACAGTCAAGAGATGGATTGAAGGCATCAGTAATCTCTACTTCTGAGCCAAGGACGTAAATTATATTCTGACATGCACTTGCTTCTGGATAGTAGATACCTCTTGGTAATTGGCTTACAGATTTCCAGTCTTTGGAAAGAGGATTATAGGATTCTACATCCAAAAGACTTCGGGTTTCTTGAGCTCCTCTGGTTTTCCCACCTATTACAAACAGCTGATTTAAGGTTACAACAGATGTGTGCATTGTCCTTGGTTTCTTCATAGCTGACACGATGGAGAATTCATTGCTGACTGGACAGTAGCACCAGGTCTGGTCAGTGGCATCATGAAATGGTTCAGCAATATGAAGCCTGACAGTCCTATAACAATTGCCTTTGCATCCTCCTGTTATAAATATTTTTTCTCCATAGCTAGATAAACTTGACCCTGGAAGATCAATCATGTGTGTATGTGGTAGTTCTTTCCATTTATCTGTTTTGATGTTGTAGCAGAACGTATGTCTGTTTTCTCCATCTTCATCAGTTTTATGAACAAATATGTATTTTTCTGTTGTTGAAGGACGTGCATCTGGAAACAGTCCACTAAAGTTTTGCACACTTTTAACTGCATCATTGATTATTACTGAGCAATTAGCACTCATAAGTAAGTGTTCTTCAGAATGCAGAAAGTCCTGCAAAGTCTTTTCAGGTAACTGGTGTAGTCTCACTTTTTTAATTAAATTAGGCAGATATTTCTGTCGTGTTTCTAAGTTATGTTTGGTCCATTGAAGGACAGCTTTCAACACTGATTCTTCCTCGGGGACATTTAGTTCGTCAGCCTCAAGACATTTTTGTAATATCTCAAAATTCATCTCCAAAAAATCACTTGATCTGAGCAGCAAGGAAAAGTGGTGCTGTACAAAATCTAGCGCATGATCAAATAAGCGGACAGAACCGTAACTTTCTGATAGAGAAAGCAACTGTAAGCAATTCACAAGATCAATACTTTTCATTAGAAAGTCACTGCAAGCTTTGGAAAGGAGTGAAACCTGAAGAAATGACGACAGTTGGAAGAGCATTTCCACATTATCATTTGTTATCTCTGTTTTTCCTGTGTAAGCGTAATCAAGAAAAGCTTTCACTGCCTTGGGTGATAGATTACTAATAGTAACATTGCCATCATCTCGTTCTTTCATATTAACTTCAAACATGGCTCTGTGAATAAAATATAGAAGATATAGACACGAATTAGAGATCTAGCAAACAGCAAAGAACACTGATGTGAGAGGAAGGAGAAATTCAGAGGTGTGTAATAAGGTGGGCAGGCTGTATAGGTCTAAAATGTGGAGGTTCTCAAAAGTAAGAACAATGCACTTGCTTGATGTGGTGAAAGAAAAAAGGTGTAGTGATAAGTACACATTCAAAGTGGTGGCTCATAAAAATGATAGCAGCACCTGTGTTTTGTATGGATTTTCACAGAGAGCAATGAATGTGATGAATGTACAGCTCTCAATGTGAGAGAAAATGTGAAATTTTTAGGGGCAGCATCAGTTTTAACAGCTTGAGAAAGAAAGGTTGATTTACAAAATACATAGTAAAAAAGCCACGATTTAGGTCATGCACTGTGTATGGATACAGAAAATTAAATGAAAAAAGGCTTCCAAATTGCAGGCTGAGAAAATGGCAGGATGGATGATGGGTGCATTCCTCGGTAATAAAAGTGGATGAGGGGTGAAAGAGGAGAAGAAACATGAGGAAACTTAATTCTTGCTTTGGAGTTGACAAATGGGTCCAGGCAGATGTCAGAAAAAATGAGGTTTTGACGTAGGATTGCATGTCACGATGAAACTTGTGCAGAAAGTAGACTGTGACTGAATACAAAGATGATGGTTGAAATTGTGGAACAAACATTATTGATTGGTAGATTTGTGCAAATTATATTACAACTTCGACTACATTTATCTGTAAATATGTAATAACATTTAACTATTCCACACAATCTAACATGGCAAGATAAAATAACTAAGGTTTTTCAAGCCGGTAAGTGCTGGCAACAGACTAGTGCTGTGACATCACTTGTCCTGCCCTCCCAGAGCCTAAGCATTAGGCTGTGATAGCAACAGCTTCTGAATTTGACAAAAGATGAGAGTGGAGAAAAATTTAGATAAATCATCAAATACTAAGTATATAATGTGGATTATTAATATATCATAGATCATTCCTATTAAAAGAGAGAGTATTGTATCATAGTTCAGTTATACAATTAGTATCTGTATAGTATGTGATTTTTAAAATCCCATGCTTTTACGAAGCCAAAGAGAAAAAAAAATAAATCAGTGTGTATAGCATACTCTTTGGGAAGTGAACATCAGGTAAAGCAGGAACTTGTCTGACCTCCTGAACAGGAACATAAAATTACAGTAAGACACTTATGTCCCAAAGACCTATTTGCATACTAAATTATGATACTTAGAATCCTTTCCACATTAACCCAAGAGCTATGACACAATTCTCTAAATTACAGAATAAAATAGCAACTGAACAATACTGGAAGGAAAGCTATATTGCAAAGGCTTTGATTCTGAAAGATAACAAGTAGGGACCAAAATGTTGCTGAATCTTGTGTTTACACAATGAAAACAAAACTAAGAGAAATTCAAAGGCCAAGGAAGACAAAAGGTGTTTAATTTTAAAATTTATCTAGTGGACCTAGGTATTTTTTATTCCCTGAAAGTAATAAACGGGCCTTGCATTCCAGGACAACTTATGAATTTGATGGCTGTGGTTATCAACTGTTACACACAGGGAGAGGTCTCTCCTGGCAAATTTTAACCTGAAGAGCCTGTAGGTAGTGAAAAGGCCACATATGTTACCATGTGCGTAACTTCAGTTCTAAAAATTACCACTGGAAGCTATTTCATCCTAATACACCTGTCTATCAGAGCATCAAAAAACATATTCAAAAACGTATTCAAAAAATGTGTAGACGTGGTACTTCAGGATATGGTTTAGTAGGCATGGTGGTGTTGGGTTGGTGGTTGGACTTCGTGATCTTAAAGGTCTTTTCCAACCTTAATGATTCTGTGATTCTGTGATCTCTGTATTGTCGATGCAAGTTCTGTGTGTCAGAGAAACAACAATTTGCTGCCACAGTGGAGAAATAGCTTATTTCATCTGCATTTCTTCTTTTTTCCTAAGAACACATCTAGCCTATCTGCTCTGTTATATATGGCAGACTCCCACAGACCAGAGGATGCTCCGGGCCACTTGAAAATAACACTTGTCACCTATGTATGGGCAACTGAATCAAGCTCATGAACTCATTTCCAGGAGCCTATTTTTCCATTGTTAGAGTGTCTTAGTGTTTCAGTAAAGAGTGTATTTGGAAACAGACTTTCAGCATGGAACTGCAAGTTTGATCATTACTAGTAAAAAGGTTAGCAAGGTTCTTCATGAATTAATAGCCTGTATGTGAATGATCTGTCTCTCCCTTAAGAATGCATAGCTTTAGGCACCAGAAGGAAGGTCACAGATCCATTTCATGCTGAAAGGCTGAAATCTGTAGTTTAGAAAAAATGTGAGATATCTGTTTAAATACCTCTGACAACAAACTCTACTATACTGACCACTCATTTTAGACAAACAAAATCATTTTAGACAAACAAAATCCAACCATTCCAAAACCATGTACAATTTATCCACTATTGCTCAATGCAACATGTATTTGTAATCAACCTGTTATGTTTCACAATATAAATTTGTCAAAGTACATAGACTGTCCCATACAAAGTCAAACAATATCCTTGCAGAACTTCAAGTACAGATACAGGCAACAGATGAGGTTTAATGATACACACAACTTGTGTCAATTCTACCTAACACCAGAACCATGCACTTACGGTTTGACATTTGTATTTCAGAGTATAGACTGTTGTCAGAATCTCAAATTCACAGAGCCCTTATGTCACTTTGGAAACACAAACAGATGTATCTGGGGTATGGTTAGGCATCTAATGTTGTAGTTTTGTTTTGGTTCTTTGTTTTTTGCTATCTTTAATATGATGTTTGAGTACTTTGTTCCAAACTCTGCAGACACGTAAGTTGTGATAATTTATTTTTTAATTTTTGTAATTATATTCCTTCCCCCCCAGAGAACTTAAAATCCATTTGCTGAAAACTCATGCTAAAATTAGGTTTACCTGAAAAAATCACTGCATGCTGCCAGTACACAACGATGACAAGGAATTATTTCATCTTTCACAAGAATTTTAAAGTCAAAAAATATATTTTGTTCTCTGAACTTTTGTAGTACTTTTAGAATTTGTTGTCCATGACCTTCAGCCACTAAGGAATTGATTTTATTTTCAGGAACAGAAATTCCATTGCAAATAGGTCTGCTAATGTAATCCCGTTGATTGGCCATGGTTTCTTCAATCTATTCCTGAAACTGAAATGGAAAAATAAGTAATTGATTCTACAGTCTTATTATTAAAAAAAATAAAATCAATATACCATAAAGCAAAATTCCCAGCATTGAATTTGGTTTGTAAGTCCTATGCACAGTTCTGACTTTGTGTTATAAGTGACTTTTACACTGACTTTAATTTGATAATACTACTTCTACTTTGGAAAAATGTATACACATAATATACTTTGAAAAGTGAAATATCTGACGTGTATGAAAGAACAACTCTAAAAATAGTACCCACCTGTAGGAATTTTTTTCAATAAAGTCCACAGGAAGCACACCAAGAACTGTGTAAAAATTTTTAATGGTCATTTAAGAGAAAGACTAGTCCTAGGCTTACCCTCAAAAAACCCCAAATTCTTACAAATTGATGTAAAACAAAGATGGAAAAGGACAACTTTGTTACGTATTTTTAGATTCCAAAAGGCTCATCTGTATACTACAAACCCCCAAGCTCAAAGCAGACCAATGGTCTTTCTACAGCTTACAGTGGAAGGGAGATACAGGCTACTAGACCTGTTCTAAGTGGATTCCCATTAGGTACTCCGGACTCAAATAACAGAATACAAACAAACACTGGCAGCCTGGCCTAGTCACAGGATTGCTAGGGCTTACCAAATGGGGTCATATAGAGGCAGTTTGGTGACAGTGCAACTTTGAGTGTTTAGTCAATTGATACTGATTTTATCTTGTACCTCTAGTCTTGCTATGAAGCTGTATGTTTGCTTACAGCTTGTGCTGCACACTGTGAGCTTCATTTACAGTGGCATAAATTAACTGGCTTCAGAACTCATTTAAATTTAGGGCAGTGCAATCTCCCTGTCAGCAGCCAAGTTTTTCTGGTGAAAATCCCTATACTGAAGTGCATTGTTTATATGGTAAGTTGGGCTTTACTATTTTTTACATTAAAAATATTTTACTCCACTGTGAAAACATGAAGAGAATTTAAACATTAATGTATTTTATTTGCACCTATTTAAAGAGCTATTTATACTGCTACAGATGCCTAAACTGCCCTTACTGCAAATTTGAATCAAGCTTGCCTATTTTAAAGGCACCTTTCCTTAAGGAAACTTTCCAAGGTTTCTAATGTAGGATTCTGCTTCTACAATGCCAATTAAAATTAGCAAAAAGATAATGGCCCACCTGAATTGACAAAGAAGGGGATAAAAAATTCCAAGCCAAACCCGGAAACGAGAAAAATATTGGTTTTGGTTTTTACTTTCATGAAAAGGCTTATCTGATAACATGATACATTCAGAGCAAACTAAGCCATCAGGCAGTCTTCTTCATGGGAGGTACTTTCATAGCAGACTGAGCTATATTTTATCTAGTCAGGTGGCTCCAACCACAAAGAGACCTCCATGTCTCCTGGAATAGAAGAGATCCATTGATCTTGCTGCCAGTTCTGGCACCCTTGGAGCAGGCATCTTCTCCTTCCCATGGCCAGACAATCTCACGTATTCAACTGAGGAACTAGGAAAATACAGAAGAACAAGACCACCATTTATTCTGATAATGTATGGCCTCATAAAACCCAGCTTCCATAAATCATAAAGCTTTTTTGTATGTCAGAATTCTCTAGAATACCCTTTCCTTATGAACTTAAAAGCCTGTTCCTCAAAAGACTGAATCTTCAAAAGCAGAGCTGTTTTAGTAAAATTAGTTTCCCATATTTGAAAGAAACTTTAAAAAAACAGTAAGTGAATTTCAAGGTTTATTTGGCATTATGTAAAGTAACACTTCTTCTGAAGGAAATGTAAACCTTTACACTAAATTCTGGAATTGATAGGAGACAGTAGATGTGTTTATCCTTTTATACGCAATTTTTATAGCAAGCTCCGACCTACTACTTGCTTTCTGTAAGTTTTTACATTTACATTTACAAATTTGTAAATTACCAATTTCAGTAATAATCATCTTTGTATAATGAACACAGTAACATCTAATATCATCAAGTCTGTCTCTGCTATTTTAGGCAAAGACATCATATAACCACTTTCATAAAAGATATGTGTTTCAGAAAGTTTTCCTTTACCACCACTATTTCCACAGAATGACTATCATGACTATCCCAATACCTTGATGCCAAGACTGCAAACCTTCTTTTAATTACACAATCAATTTATTAATGTTTACATATATTTGTTCTGTCAAAATTATCATTTGACTTAATTTTCCTTTGTATATTTATTCACTCACAATTATCAAGAGTGTTGATACCCCCTCTGAACTTTTATTAGGATGAACAATTGTCAAACTTTCCAAAGTCCATTTATAAAACTGAATTTTTGTTTTCCTTATTATTTCTTGCAGTTTTCTATTCATCCACTCCAGTTTGATTTCATATTTCTTTCACTGATATCAGATGTGTTGTACCGCATTATGGTTAAGATCTCATCAGTGTACCATCCAGTGCATCCTAATCCTAATCTGTATTTCTCCTTATTTTTTATTAAAAGCAAATTCAGCAGCGTACCTCTCATGGTTTTGTCCATCATTAAGGAAGATACTAATGAATACTGTGCTATGGCCTAGCCTAATTCACCTGCCACACCATTAAAAAAAAACAAACCACCATTAAAAAATTCAATTCTCATCTCCCTTGTAGCCAATTTCTGCTATACTTGATAATTTTGGTACTAATGTACCACTTTACTGTATCTGCTGATGATTTTAGAGCCTTCCAAAATATTGTAACCATTCAGCTAAGACTTGGTATGTTAAACAAGGCCAACTAGCATTTATAATTATTTCATACATTCTTCTACAAAGCCATATTAATTAATCAATAGTTATATTTATAAATGTTTGATCAAGTTACTGACAAAAGGGTAGAAAACATAGGGTGTGCAGACATACGTTGTGTAGATCTGGAGTTCAGGAAAGCTGGGCAATGAGCCTCCTTATATTTCCTCCATTTACTCCCACAGGATTCCAATTACAAAGTCTGTCTATATGTGGATTACCGAGAACCTAACTCCAGATGGTAGATGTTTCATTAGAGTTGGGATCGCCTATTTTTGTTTCTTAATATATGGCTGTGTGCCATACAGCTTCTTATGGCAGGCAAAGGCTATATACTCAAGCCCTCTGACCCACCGGGCACTTGTCATGCAAACAGCATCTCCTGTAACATGACGCGTTAGACTCTGAGTACTGACGTACGCAACTGGGCACTGCCTGCGATGAGATCAAATGTGTTCTCTGATGTGACCACATTCAAGCTACCCTACCACTTGACAAAATTCCTCTGCTCGCATACTGAACGTTTACACGTCTTATACTGACAAATGCCTGGTTAGCTGTTAGCCTGGTTTTCTAAAAAAGAAAACCCCTCCAAAACCAAACCCCCTTAAAGTTGATATATTTGCCCTGTTTTTCTGCTTGAAAGTCATATCAAACAAGTGGCCTGTTGGCCATTTCAAGTGAAATTTGATACAGACTTCAACATTATTAAGGTCAATCCCACATAATACATGCATGGGGAGATACATGTACTTCTCAAAGCTATCTGTACAGATCTCCAGTTGAGGGGCAAGGCATTCTGCACACCTGATAGTTAAGCAGCAAGAAATGGCCAGCCTATGTATGGCCACAAAGCAGCTAGCAGTTGAACAAAAGGAGGTTGGGGATGATAAGGTAATTTTGGTCATTACAGTGGATGAACTAAGGGACCACCTGGAAGCTCTGAGAGTAAAAGCATTCTGGTGGTCTGTCACAAAGACCACTAATAAGGACCCAAACCTCATTAGTTCTGTTTTAACACTGTCCTTTTACCAATGCAGTAAGGGATGGAGCAGCCTAGAACATAATGAACTCGTTGACCCAAATGCCAGGTAACCACACTGAGAAGTCTGATAAGCCTATAGTCAAAACATGAGATATACATACATTCCTATTAGTACATTCCAATCTATTAGTACAATCTAAAACAACCAGGACAGCCATTTTCAGAGTATCTCAATGGCATACACCGAAATCATAACCACTGCAATATGCTTCTTAGAAATGGTGTTCATATCCATTCCAGCAGATTTCAAACAGCAAAGCAAACAGAATTGCAGAATGAACTTTGAGCAGAGATGAACTTTTGGTTGTGTGGGGTCTACCGCAGTGCTCACCAGAGCATCAATCAGAACATACTCATATAAAGTACATATATTCATAAACATTGTGGTTAAAGGAATTTAAATATGCTAATGACGTTGAGAATGGTATAAGATGTGCAATTAATTCTAAGTAAACAACAGAGGAAATTTTATTAAACAAGGGCAAGGGCCTATGTAATAAGAATGGAGCATGAACACCCAGATGAGAACACAGGGTACAGACTGACACTGAAGAATACCAAACTGTTTTGATCGCTTTATATGTAAGAAATATATATGTGAACTTGTAATAGCCATAGGGATGTTGTTTTGTGAAAGTATTGAGCATACCTAAGTATCGTGTATATGTAAGCTAACACTTGTCAGAAAAAGCCTGTTAAGGCCACGCCTGCCTGACAATAAACATGACGGAACCTTTGTAATGGGACTGAAACCTGAGACTGTTCCCAGCACAATGGACACCAATCTTACATGACGCATGTACACATTCAGACAGTACAAATAAGATTCTGTGTGTAGATGTTCTCTCTTCTACCAACGCAGCTGGCAAAAAAGGTCTAAACTCAACCGTTATTTGGCGCTTTACTACTTATAACCAAATTATTTCAAAGCACAATATAGCTGTGCCACAGCATTCTCTGTACAGCAGCTCTCAGAAAAAAAAAATTCTTAATAGTTCTTAGCACGTATCAATTGTTCTTCAAGAGAACATTACCATTGCCACTTAGCCTTCTTCCAACTTGGACAGTCTTTACTAGATAGCAGGATTTTAAAAAAGAGAAATCTTAAATGCTGGTATTTTACAGCATACTTTATGTACTAAGAGAAATCTTAAATGCTGATATTTTACGGCATACTTTATGTACTTAGGAAGAAAGAATTAAGACCAATGAAGATATTGTATACCTTCCTCTAGAGAAGTTTTAGATTATTTTTTTCCCTAGAAAATTTAACTGTACAGTTAATGTAAGTTTTGAAAAGGTCAAGGTCAGCATTTTAAAATCTAATATTAAAAATAAGTATTATGTTACTAAGTTTACTATATACCCATCAAGATACCTTCACTCCTTATCTATTCAAAGGGGGAGAAATAAGTAATTTGCTAATAATTTTTACAGACACCACTCCCCACACATCTAATTTAACAGAACCTAATTTAATATTCAGCAAGATGAATCTGAGTGGAACAGGTACACTTGAAACACACTTGAAGACTTACAGAGATAAGCCAGGGACTCCTGAGATAATAGGAGCCAACCGGTAAACACCAGTGAAATACCCCAAAGGAATCAAGGGCTGTTTCTCGAAGATGACATGGCCGACAACCTAGCTGAAGTGCCTCTACACCAATGCACACAGCATGGGCAACAAACAGGAGGAGCCGGAAGCCACCATGCTGTTGGAAAGCTACAACATGGTTGCCATTACTGAAACTTCGTGGGACAAATCCCACGACTGGAGTGCAGCTATCGATGGCTACAGGCTGTTCAGAAGGGACACGCAGGGAAGGAGGGGCAGAGGTGTTGCCCTCTACACCAAGAAATGGATAGAATGTGAAGAGCTGTCTCTGAAGAATAGCCACAAGCAGGCTGAAAGCTTATGGGTGAGAACCAGAGACCAAGGCAACAAAAGGAAACTTGTGGTTCGTGTCTACTACAGGCCACCTGACCACGGGGAGCCTATTGATGAAGCCTTCATACTCCAGCTACGGGAGGCATTGTGCTCGCAGGATCTTGTCGCGCTGGGAGGACTTCAATCACCCTGACATCTGCTGGAAAAGTAGCACAGTGAGCTGTAGGCAATCCAGGAGACTCCTGGAAGGCATGGAGGATAACTTCCTGTGCCGATTAATAGACAGCCCTACCAGGGGGGATGTGATGCTGGACCTGTTGGTCACCAATGCAAGTGAGCTAATTGGTGATGTCAAGACTGGAGGCAGCCTGGGCTGCAGTGATCATGCACTGGTGGAGTGCACAGTCCTGAGGGATATGGGGCAGGAAAACACTAAAGTCAGGACCCTGAATTTTAGGAAAGCAAACTTTCAGCTCTTCAACGAGTTAATCAATAGGACCCTCTGGGAAACTGCCCTCAGGGACAAGGGAGCAGAACAGAGCTG